GTTTTTCTTTTAACAGCAGCCAGACCTTCCCTCATTTCAGTCTGCTAACTCAGCAGAAGTTTTTGAACAAAAATGAGCATGTAATCGAAATGATATGATGACTACGTATGTATAAACAATCGTACTGGTTGTGGTTATAGCTTGTGTCCCAGTTAAATGTGAGACACTACTTGACAGCACACCAACCAAAACATTTCTTGTTAGTAGCACATTTTCATTACATTATACGCAATCATTTGGAGAGCTGAAGCAAATTTTTCATGGTTTCACACATATTTAGGTCAGTCCAGTACTCATGGCAATCATACAATGTGGCATCTGGCATCATATCTTATGAGCCTGGGGCCAAGCACCACGCAATAGAGTGAAGGGTAATAAAAGTTATTAAAGAATAACATGCATTCTCAAAAGTAAATGGACTATAGTCTGCCTATCATTCTAATAGAACCACCTATTGTTTTTGCTGGACAGCAATGTAAACACTAGTGCGTAGTTTAAAGTCTACTCCAAGCTAAAGATTCATCTACTCATAAACTATCAGTTGTGGGTTGTTTAGGGTGCTGGTGTGGTTGGTGAGGTTTGGTGGTGTTGGGTCTGAGGGTGTGGTGCTTGTGTGTTCTGTCTGTTTTAGGAGGTGTGATGTTGTTGTAATGTGAGTCGCACTACTTGACATAGAGCTCCATGAACTCAACTGGAGAATCATCATCGCTACCATCCAATCGACACAGTCTGGGCTCTATAGGGTCAGAGGTGGGGCTGGGGAGTGTCTTAGTGAAGTATGGAGGATTGTTGAATGAGCAACAGCTACTGCTGCTACCACAGCCTTCACCATCCCAGAGAGGATCATCTGGATGAAATCCACTGGTGGAACTTGAGTTGACTCCTGATTCACAGAAATAGTCTCCACCCACAAATGGTGGGGCGATATAAGTGGAACCTGTACAAGGACACCCTTCATAGTTTGTTATGGTCTCAGTAGCAGCAGCTGCAAATGTCCAGATGTGTTGTCGTGGACTGCCATGTGTGAGACTGACACCAGAAACATAGGCTCCTTCTATTGTAGTCACACGTCCAAGATGGTAGGCCTCAAATGCATCAATGTGACCATACTGGTAGGCTCTGATAGAGCCACACACACTAGTGTAGTCTCCTCCACTGACAGAGAAGAAGACTGAGTCACAGGAGAACCTACTGGTGTTAACTTTACCACATGTTCTCTTGGAGTGACTAGTGAGCTGCCAGCCAGGGGGACAGTTGGTGTTGGGGTCTGTCATGTTCAGGTAGACCACACGTCTCCAACCTCCTGTACCTCCACATTCATATAGGGGTATGGGTCCAAGTATATAGTCAGCAGTCTTCTTCAGTTCCTTTGTAACATTGGTCAGTACATTTCGCTCCAGTTCAGAGTGCGCAGTCGTCACTGTCATACTGAGACCATCTTGTTTGGAGTCCAGAGAGTCTAACTTGGAGTTGCTGTTTTGTTCCATGTTGCTCACAGTCTCAGTTAGAGAATTTACTTGTTTCTGGATGTTGGTTAGGTTTAGGAATTTCTCACCATCACATTGGGGAGCTCCAGTCTGCAAGAGAGAGAAGGCAAATGCTGCCACCACAACCAACTGGAGACTCTTCATCCTTCCACTTTAGCAGTATTCTTTAGCTCGTCTTTACAACTGAAATAAAGACTGCACCTCTTTCTTTGGTTATACTGACATAAACAAACTCTGGAAGCTATGTCAGCATGGTTACACTTCAGCCTACCTGTATATTTTTTATTACTAAAGACAACATCCCCTGCCTCAGTCTATGGCACTATTTGTCACGATTCACCAGGCTGGTTTGTGTGTCTGTCTGCACATACAGCAATAGTGCAGCTCAAAAATTATAATACTTATGGCTTTAGTACTACGGTGGTAAAGGAAAGATCCATGTGTCCAGTGTTCTTGTTTCACACTGGGGAGCGAGGTGCAACTAGACGTTGAGTCTTGAATTGCTCCAAATGTGTACTTACTGATAAACCTAGCATGTGGTTGACAGTTTGCTCCTCACTTCTCAGTTTTTGTTCTTACTTCTCGGTTTTGCCTTTCATTGTTGCTTTTCACTTAATTAATTAAATTCCCTGTGACACGTGCCTTTTTATTTTATACATATATACCTACCATGTACTTTTGACTTTGATGTTTCTGCCATGAACAAACTCTGACAGCTTTCACAGCTATGCCACATTGCTTGTACTTCAGTCTCTCTAATATCAACAGAGACCATGTTTATGCATTGTTTGTCCTGTTTCTCAAAGATTTCTGAATTCAGTGGCCTAAGGCTGGAGTTGTGGAGATTTTTGATTAGCTCACCCTACTTCCCAAACAAGCATGGGCTAAAAGTGGAGCCGTTTAAACTACGCACACATCGTCCAGGGCACTACTTAGGGCTCCGATTGCCTAACCAAGGTAACATGTCTTATCAGCTTCATCTACAGAATACTAGCTCGCAATCCTGTTCCAGTGCCAAGTGCCAATAATAGTTACCGCCACTGAGGATATGACAGTTACGTACCTCTAAACTCAGTCTTATGAATATACCAGTTGAGCAGTTGAGTGCTACAATAACTACACAACTACACAGAGTCCTTCACTTAATGGTCCTAGTGTCACTACTTGACATAGAGTTCAATGAACTCAACTGGAGTATCTTCATCACCTTCCCATCGACACAGTCTGGCCTCTATAGGGTCAGAGGTGGGGCTGGGGAGTGTCTTAGTGAAGTATGGAGGATTGTTGAATGAGCAACAGCTACTGCTGCTACCACAACCTTCACCATCCCAGAGAGGATCATCTGGATAGAAGGCTCTACTATTAGGTGTAAGAATCAGGAACCCCTGAGTTGACTCCTGACTCACAGAAATAGTCTCCACCCACAAATGGTGGGGCGGTAATGTTGATACTAGCATCACAGGGACAGGCATCTTCCCAAGTGGGTCGGTCCTCAGTAGCACCAGCAACAAATGACCAGATGTGTTGTCGTGGACTGCCATGTGTGAGACTGACACCAGAAACATAGGCTCCTTCTATTGTGGTCGCACGTCCAAGATGGTAGGCCTCAAATGCATCGGTGTGACCATACTGGTGATGGAGCCACACACACTAGTGTAGTATCCTCCACTGACAGGGAAGAAGACTGAGTCACAGGAAAGCCAACTGGTGTTAACTCTACCACATGTTCTCTTGGAGTGACTAGTGAGCTGCCATCCTGGGGGACAGTTGCTGTTGGGGTCTGTCATGTTCATGTAGACCACACGTCTCCAACCTATACCTCCACATTCATACACCTGTTCAAGTATACAGTCAGCAGTCTTCTTCAGTTCCTTTGTAACATTGGTCAGTACATTTCGCTCCAGTTCAGAGTGCACCGTCGTCACTGTCATACTGAGTTCAGTAGCCGTCTTGTTCTTGTGTTCTTCAATATCTCCACTCAGAGAATCTATTTTACCTTCAATTCTGCTAAGATCTTCCTTCATTTCAGTCTTAACAGTGGCCAAACGATCCCTCATTTCAGTCTTAACAGCAGCCAGACCTTCCCTCATTTCAGTCTTAGCAGCAGCCAGACCTTCCCTCATTTCAGTCTTAACAGCAGCCAGACTCTCCCTCATTTCAGTCATGAATGGACTCAGTGTCTCGTGTACTGCTGCAGCTAGCCTCACAACTGAGAGAAATGTACAGCAATAAATAATTTGACATATTTGTAGAGAGCTTCAAGACAACCCTTGGTATTAGCACTCTCACTAACTAGGGACACACAAACTAAAGACCTTGTGTATATTGGAAATCTACAGTCATATTTATACTTTTCACCATCACATTGGGAAACTCCAGTCTCCAAGATAGAAAGGGCAAATGCTGCCACCACAACCAACTGAAGATTCCTCATTCCTCTACTGTAGCTGTATTTTTTTAGCCAATCTTTACAGTCAAATAAAGCATGAACTCTACACACTGCACTTCTTTCTTTCATAAGTGTGTTATATGCCATAAATAAACCTTGGAAACCATAATTAGCTTTCGTAGCTAGTCAGCATGATTACACTTCTGTCTAGGTAACTTGTTTTTGTTGCTAAAGACAATATCTCCTGCCTCGGTCTATTGGTAGTTGTATTATTTGTCGCTATTCACCCAATGCATGTGTAAGGTTAAGCCTAGATCACAGTTTGTCTCTAGAGCCTGTGATTTTTTGGATAAAATGAGACATACTGTGGCATTCTCTGCTGTCACTCTTGAATTACTTTATTCCCCATGACATCACAGAGAATCAAGTGCTGTATCTGTTTTCTTTAGCTAGTCTAAGTAAGCATGAACTGTATACACACTCCACCTTTTCGCTATGACTTCAAGCCACCTGGTATTGTGTGACCAGAGGGCACTAAAACTATCATACAGTTGTGTTTGTTTCAACACACCATTAAAGTTCTCTACTCAAAGTCTCATTGTTAATGTGAACACACTACTTGACATAGAGTTCCATGAACTCAACTGGAGAATCATCACCATCTTCCCATCAACACACTTATTGCCCCCTGAACTGTGACTCCTGTACTTCACTCTATATTTCCCCCAAAAAAACAATTTCTCGGTCCTGTAGATCTCGAAATAGAGATCTTATAAAGCAGCACAGAATTCAGGATTTTCTTTTGCTTTATTGGTGAGCAGGAGCGAGCCAACCTAGTCGTTCGTTCGAGCGGAATTTTGTATATATTATATATCGTCCGTCAACGTCGTATGTCGTGTAAGTGCACATGCGCGGCTTTGTACGCACTTTTTTTAATCCAAAATTATTTCCAAATGTTTACACATTTTCACACATGTTGCCTCGCGATATGCGCCGATCGATCTAGCCAGCGAGAGAACTCTCCTCCATTTGACGACATGCGCTGCAACCTTCGGTGACTGACCGAGGCTGTACCTCTTCCCAATCTTCATGGTTCGAAGGTGCAACTTGCAAATAAGCTACGATTGCTCGTGCTAACTCAACAGAAGTTTTTAAACTAAAAATGAAGCATGTAATCGAAATGAATATGATGACATACTGTACTGTATAAAAGCAATCGTACTACTGGTTGTGGTTATAGCTTGTGTCTCAGTGTTAATGTGAGCACACTACTTGACAGCACACCAACCAAAACATTTCCTGCTTAGTAGCTACATTTTCATTACTTATACTATCATTTTTGGAGAGTGAAGCATTTTTCGCCAGTTTCACACATATTTAGGTCAGTCAGTACTCATGGCATCATACAATGTGGCATCTGGCTCCTTATCTTATGAGCCTGGGGATGAAGCTCCCAAGCACTGCGCAATAGAGTGAAGGGTAATAATAATAATACTCAGGTGGCTGCCATAGCACTAAGGCCATAGACCACGCACCCAGAGCATTGGGCGGAACCGTTAACAAACGAACATACACCATATGAACATGAGGTGTCTGTCTCACCTCCCAGACACCTCAACTCACCCCTTCCACCAGCGACACCCTGCAGCTCCCCAGACGCAATCTGAGACTGGGTCTGTTGTACGCGGGGACTATCGCCGTATAACCTAACCTTTCTTAGCTCCCAAACATCCAAAATAAAATCTTTAACAAGGCCAAGCAAAGAACCAAATTTATCCTCCCACAGTTCACTACCCAATATAAAGGATGCTTTCCTGAAACTATCAAGCGACTGGAAATGCTCAAACCCATCATCCCCAAGCTTCCCCTGCAGGGCAACTAAGAAATTGCTCCCTAAGACTACTATATGCTGGACACTCCCACAACACATGACTCACACTTTCACACTCATCATCACACAACAGGCACTCCTTCACCCCCTCCCTCCCCTCTATGCCTACCCAGTTCCTCATTTAGCCCATGCGTGCCTGACCTGAACTTAAACATTAATCTAGACCCAGCATCACTTTTCCCATGCAAGTACTTTTTGAACTCTACCACCTTGTTAAATGTCTTATACATTAACAGCTTAACTTTGCTATTTAGCCCCTCTTCAAACTTTCTAATCTCCCTCTCTACTGTCCCCTATTATAGACAGAAAGCCCTTCAAGGAGCAATCCCCATTTTGAATATCATGCAACCACTCTGCCTTGTCAGACCTAATGACGAAAAGAGATCATCAATGACCTTACTCCAACCCTTCCTCTGCCTGCCTCTCCGTGGCTTAAAAATTCCATTCCTGATTAAAAAGCTTCTTCGG